GAGTGCTGTTTCAATATCAGTATCGAATGCGATGTTTTCTCTCTAAAAAAAAAACCACGCCTTTAGTATATTGAATTTCTTTGTTAAAATTGGTGAGTGAGTGCTTTAGTCTCCTGACAACAGAATTGCGATCTCAAAATTGGAGAAAAATGACGAATAGCTGAAAAAATGGAACCAATTGATGCGATATATCGCATGCCGTTCTGACACAAAATATGGCGTCCGTCGAATCACCTCAACATAGAACAGATAGAGTACAGCATTAAAACTGATGCTTCTCTTACGGCCAATCTAGGACAGCACAACAGTTCCAGTCCCTGGTAAGCCTCTGGTAGTAGAGATAGATATTAATTTATAATATTATGGCCCAACCAAAAAAAAAACCTTGTTATCAAGCTAATCAAAATTCAATGATTCATAAACACCAATGACTTTTAAGGTACGAAACCTAAGGAGCGTCTGGATGCCTACAGAAAACGCTGCTACCAAGTTGAGGGCGAGAGAGATGCTTACATTTAGGAACACGGCACCTAAGGAGCGGAATTCATGGATTTTTTCCGCTGCGTCCACTGTCCATTTCTCGAATTTTTGTTGATCGGACCAGTATGTTCAGCCACGTGAAAATGATCAGACGCGCTTTTTTCAGGAGAATATGGATTCAATCAACAAGAATCGACCGAAAAATGAAAACAGGAATCAATCAACACGGATTCGATGGACAAATTATTAAAAAACCGGTGTTGATTCGATCAACATGAATCAATCGGAAAAAAAAAGGTGAATCGATCTACGTGAAACGATTGACACCGATTCGGACGACAGTTAATTTTAAAAAAACCAGTACTTATCGATTCAATTGACATGAATCGATCGAAAAACCAAAACGTATAGACGTGATTCAATCGACTCACGGCTTTGTCGATTGACTTCGGATTTTGTAGATCGTTTCATTAATTTGTCCAGTGACTCATGGCTTTTGTCGATCGATCCACGGGTTTGATGATCGAACCTAACACTAAACACATTCGAAAATCGGTTGGAAGGGTAGCGTTGAAAGACTCCATCGGCGTTTCCCGCAGCGTCTCTCCGCCGCTAGGGTGCCGTCCCCACGCAAAATCATCGGCGGCTTTCCATGGCGTCTTGACGCTGCAGAAAAAAACGCCTTAGGTTCTGTAGTTTTAAGATCTTGGTTCCTCATGAGTAGATAGGACATGAAAATAATTGGGTGCCTTGCTTGGTAAAATGATCATTCTTGCGTAACTCACTTTGCAATAATGCAGACTTCCTAGCATATGTACTTTGTTTTTAAAATGGTGAACTAATCAAAGTCACTTTTCAGAAACTTCAATGATTTTCCTTCTCTGTGCTAAGAGACTTCTGTAAAAACTTCAACTTGGTACAACAACAAGCCGCAAGACGTCACTTCCACACTCTACGCTCCCTCAGACAAACGTCGTGCCTCATCTTTGTTGTTAACACTATTCTGGACCGATCTCACTTCACTCAAATCATAGGAGCTAAGTATTATTAAACAAATTTTTCTGATACCTGCCAGGCCTTAATGCTTGTAACACTGCACCAAAACAACTGGTAGTCAACAGAAAACGCCTGGCAATCAACCATAGATGATTTTTTGACTGACCAATTATATTACTCTCAATAATGATCATTATTAGCTCTAAACACACTCTCACAAAAACTTAACTTCATTGCGGCAGTTCAAAAATTCATCTGAATGCAAAATGAACTCCAGATTAAGGAGTTCCTATAAGGCAGTTACTTTAGGCGACAAATATCAACAAGCAACATGATGACTGAAGGCGTTTTTCAGTTGATGATACAGTCTCTCTCTTATCCTGTTCTTTACAGACTGGCAGCGGATCCGTGATCCTGTTCTTCTGGGCTGGTAAACATTACGTCGCTGCTGATGACCTCCTCTTCCAAAGCTTCTTTCTGTTTTTTTCAGCTACACGCTTTGTCAAAGACAGAGATATGGTGATGTGCGAGCATAAGAACAGCTGCCATATGGTGACGTTGTACTTAACCTTGCACACAAGCATATTTCGCAGACTTAATGGTTGCACCATCATTCAATTCGATCTGAGAAGGATAAGAGGGAACATGGTCAGGAATAAAAGAGGTTGGGAGTAAAATAGGAAATGACAAATTATAAAACTGGATAAGAAGAAAAGAAGATAAGGAGAGTGAAGATGTCATCATGAATGATATGTTTGCCAGTGCAGAGAAGGAGAGTTACAGAGCCATTGCTAGTTTACCATGTGAGACGAAAGGGAGATAACGTCATCAGTTGAACAAATTTGATCGATGATGACGACTTTCCTCCTCAGCATTAAGTGAATATTCTATTAATAAAATAAGTAGGACCAATTCACCAAGTAGTGGAAAAAAAGAAGAAAAACAGCTACCTCCTAGGAATTTGAGTTATTAGCAACTTCATTCTTATACTGAACTTGTTGCGAAAACCAAAAAAATGCAATGGGACTGGAAAATAATCTGAAAATAATAATATCCCAAAATCTAGGATTCCAACTTATCTTGAAATTATTCGCATTGTTTGCATGAGGGAATTGATGGGACTAGAGAAGAAATCCTTCTTGTGATCAGCTGAATTTCTAACTCATCAGTAAATTGACTTACTGAAAATCTACTACGTGTACATGGTGCCTGACTTACCTTCCGGATGTATACATCATGCAGGGGATAAGTGCTCTGGACTTTCTTTTCGATTTCTTTAGCGATGGAATCAGGGAGAAGCTTGTTGACAACTTCTTTTAATTCAAATGGTGTTACTTCTTGTGCTATCTGATCAACCATTTTTTTCCTAATTTGGCAAACCTGTCAAAAATTTCAAGACATGAAGATTTAACAGTCAAGGCAGAAGAAACTTAGACTTAGAAGATAGCGTTCGATAGAAAAACAAATCACTACAGCTGCTTTCTCTTTGATAATGAGTTGTGAAATCTGAACCAGAAGTTTGCTGCTTTCTAGCTGTGGGGGGCCACTTTCAACAAAATTGAAAAAATTTATAAACTTTTCAAGGTTGCCACGGGATTTATGAAATTAATTTCCCTGATGCATTTAGCTGTAATTCCCTGACAATTGAGGCTATACCAGATTGTTAAAAAGGCATAATTCGAAACAGTATTATGGTAAAATTTGTTGTTCTAGCATCAAGCTCATTCAAGAAGGCAAATTATTAATGGAGTGAAAAGAAAACCATCTCATTGATTCTGGGAATCTACACTGGGTTTATTACGATGTAATAGACATGAACACCATACCCACATGAAGTTACGCCATCTTGATCTTAAATTGACTGACAAAGAAAAACGAGGGAACATGAGAGAAGCACTGATCAATTAGGTTTGAGCCTCCGGAGTGACGTCTTTTCACTAGAGTCAAAAATCCAGTACCCCCAAACTATGCAGATTTAGCAGAAAATTACAATCTAGCATACCAACACAAATAAAGGCAACTTGACGATTTTTACCTGACACTTTTGCCATGTTCCCTAATATTCCCACATTTTCCCTGACTGTGGCAACCCTGAATTTTGGTTTTTTTCAGTTTTTTGCCAACAGATTGTTACGGAATTAAAATATCCAAAATGACTTCAATCAACTCCTTGCTCCGCCAGCCCTTATTTGGCCATGCAGGTAGTCCACTCATGACCAAACTTGTTGCCACCACTATTGCATTCTTCAGAAATGATTAGTGCAATCATAAAACACTTGACACACTACATCATCTGATATGTTTAGAATTATTCATCCAAACTCTTGTTTTCCTCACCAGAAACACAAGATTCAGCATCAAAACTTGTCCAATTTTTTTCTGCCTATAGATATTTAAAGCTGTATTAAAAAAAATTGAAGAGAGCCAAACCGCGTAACAATCCACCCTAATGAACAAGATAAAATCACAGTATCTGCAAATGAAGTCAAAAACTTGCCAGCCTGTGAATGCCATCAATTTAGGTGGCAATGGAGTATGCAGCTGACAGGACCCAGCCTTAACTACGCAACTCTAAAAATGAGAAATTAGATAGGCGCTGGTTACTGATTTAGAGAGAGCACTAGAACACTAGTCTCAGGCTCATTGGCCGTCATCAATCTCACACATTTCTCTCCTAATCATGAGTGGAGACACCTGATGCAAGCCTCCCTTCGTAGAAACCCAGCGGAAAATTTGTCGACAGAGCTCTCCGGGTAGCAGCCACTTGGTGCTCTCTCAGTTCTCAGAATTAAGGACAAATGCCTCTCTAGTTTCTCATTTTTGAGAGCTGCAGCTGTAGTACAAGCTGGACCCTGTTTGCTGCCTGCTCTGATATCGACTTGATTGATGGCGTTCACGTACCAGCTAGTTACGTAAACTGCATTCGTAGATGCCATGATTTTTTCTCAATTAATTAGAATTACTGAATCAGTGTGGTAAGCCAGATCACTCTAAATCTATCTTGAATTGAGCTCATGATGCCAGGCCAACTAAAAGTCTTTTTCTTTCAAAATGCTCAAGGTATGATGGTTGATTTACACATCACTTATAGCGTTAAGTTAGAAAATGGCCTTGCTGAGCTTCTTCCCTTCACCCCTCTTTTCTGGAAAATCAAGATTTAGTGTTGTCCACATTATCTGGCCCTCTTTCATTCTTCCTGCTTGCGATCATGCTGTTATTTCTTAAACCTGGAGGTATAAATAATTTACTACAAACCTGCGTGTGTTTGGCATAGCAAGTTTTCCTTTGGGATAGCTGGTCTTTGTGAGTGAATCCAATGCAGAAAACTCTGAGAGTATATCCATCTTTAGTCTTAACATCTGTGTTGGCTTCAATGAGAGTCTGTTAAGAGAGATAAGAGATATTTTAATAAACGTACCTCTCTTGGGAAAGGGAGTAGGAACACAAAGAAAACTTTACACGAGAAACAACAAAATATTCTATTGTAATACAACCAGCAATCTGAGGTCTTTAAGAATAAGGGAAGTTGTAAGGTACTTACTACTTTTCTAAGATACTTACTAAAGAATTGCTTTTTTTCTGTTTGGACAAAATGCAACCGCTCACAAAACATCTTCGGATTTTTATTGATTACGTTCAGACACTGATTAGTACTATCAGTGGCTAAGTCCATCCCATGGAAAATTATCAATGATTTCCTAGCCTCAATATTTTCTGCAATCAGCTTCAATTTCTTGCAGGATCTTTTAGCAAATCTGCTAGAAACTTCAAATACACATCCTTTTGGACCATCAGCAGCCACTTCTATTATAAAAGAGAATGGGAAAATGATTCACTGATACATACCTGCCATTTCTTAACCATGCTACGCAATTTGTCGGTGGTTAAATCCATCCCATGGAAATTTGTTAATACATTCCTACCCTGAACATCTTCTGCAATTAGCTTGAATTTTCTGTAAGATCTTTCCGCATCGTTGTCATTTTGTAAATCTGCAAGAGAGACTTCAAATACTCGTCCTTTAAGACCATCAGCAGCCAATTCTACATAAACAAAGAAAGGAAAAAGTTATTGATAATCCTTTTTTGGTATTGAGATAAAGAGCAAGCATTCTGAATAGGTATCACTGGGATGACTGTAAAAAAAAAATCTCAGGAGGTTTAGCGAAAATTGCATGATGCCAATGTGTACTGTTGCTCAATTTCTATTGATGTCAATGCATTTGAGATGAGCAGTATGATGATTCAATGAATTTGACGCTGCACAGGGAACAGGTTAATAGTATCAGATTTCCATAAGTTATCTCTAGATTTACAGGGTATTTCAACTGATATTTTCAGGCCCTCATGCTAAGGGCCTGAGACAACAATGGGGACAGGCTGAAAAACCTTAGAGATAATGGAAAAAAGACATTTTTCACAAACCTGCGGAAGTACCATGAACACAGTTGCTTCAATACTCAATTTTTCCCCAAACTTGGATAGGTTGAAATTTAAACTTTTTCCCTTAAAGAAAAGTTTCAGTGCTTATGAGTAATTATGATAAATTTCTGTTGAAAGCCTGTGACATATGAGTTGGAACATCTGAACATTCTAAAAAAGCTAAAAAATGGATTTTCGAAAGGTTCAGAAGTTATTGATAGAAGCCAGAGGGCCAAAGTTCTCCAAAAGCTCATGAACAGGGTTCCTTATATGATTCAAGATGGTTAAAACAATCTCTCAAAAGGGGTGTTTAGGAATGTTACCCTACAGGACTGATGCATCAAAGTTGGGTGGAAAATGAACCCTCCAGAAAAGCACTTACTTGTTCCAACAGTCCTGTTGACTAAGGTCTTGCCTATTTGGCGTGTAGTGAACATGGAGGGTGCCTTGACATCGTACCAATCTTTGCGGGTGAAGGGATCAACACTGAAAAAGAAATGAGAATATGAAAATCATAGTTTGAGAGAAGACAGGATTTGCGTAGGGGATTCTATCGCAAATATGATCTTGTTAGGAGGCAATCTAGAATAAGAGGAGATACCTGCATTCCTTTATGGTAATGAATAGAACAGAAATGTGTTGAGACAAATGTCAACCGCTGATTGCCTCAGAATCAGCACCACTCAAAAGGTTACTACATGCAGTCAGATGGCGGCACAGATAAGTGGTGATCTAAACAATACTTGACTTTTGTCTCAATATACGATGCTTCCGCTCTTTCAATGCAACTAGAAAACTATAGTTGAAGTGAGCGACAGTGATTCAGTGCAGCATGACCTCATAAAACGTCATTTTCAACTATTTACTAGATAACAGGTACAGGAAGCTTTAGCTTTAATGACTGACAAATGCTGTAAGTATCACAGCTCATAACCTAAAAGCGTCATTTCCCAAACATTCCCTAAATCACCATCTTGAGGGGCAGTGATACAGTGGAGACTGTTGTAATTATGTGATCAAGAAAATAAAGAATGTCATACAATATAAGGACTGCACGGCAAAGAAAAACAGGGGAACAGCACATCATTCTGCTTCTGATACCTGCCGCATTATCTATGGTCCTACTTCCTGCTGTTTTATCGCAATTGCAGTGCATCTACTGCTGTAATTATCGGACCATGTGTGGACTTATTCAACGCATTGCAGTAGTGCAGCTTTGGAGCTGCGTCTTGTCTACTTGCACACATAACTTGCGGAGAAAACAGTAGGAAAAGGGCCAGAATGACAGATATTTCTTCTCAGTCGTAGCGATCCAGCACTACCACTCAGGAGTCACAGTGATTTATCACAGCTAGTGAAATCGCAGTCACTTCCTTGAGTCTTGGAGGTTCTGCTAGAATGTCCCTTCGCCTATCAGATAGGCGTGCTGGTAAAATTTATCCATCATCATCTCATCCCCGGTAGATGTCAGAAGCAATATGTAAATTTGGCGAGCCAGGTTAATTAATCAGGTGCGGGTTGAATAACAGATACAGTTAAATTACTTACATCTTCTTCTTCGCACCCTTCTTTCCACTTTTTGTTAATCCTTTATTTTTGCCGACCGCCATGATGATTACTATTTACTGTCAAGAAATCACAACAACCGCACGTCGTCGTCGAACCTCCATGTAAAATAAGGCTGTTGAAGTGGGTACTTGCACCTCATTCTTAAGCCCAGGACCAATGTACTCTTCCAGCTGGCCAATAGAAGTCTCGGATCTCAGATCGTTGACCAGTAGCGTGTTTTGGCGCGAAATGGACTTGAGTAGGAGCATGTAGGAAAAACTTTTCAACGCGAGGAAGGGTCAAGCGTAGAAGAACGGTACACCACACCGTAGATCCCCTTATGAATATATGGCGATTTGAAGCTCTGCTATGTGAGACTAGTCCCAGGCAGGGTTAAAAAATTTTTTATGATAAATTAAATCTTGAAATTTCAGAGCATCATGAAAAATAATAACGAAAAACACTTTTCGAAAAGTGCAAAAAAATTGTGGCTTTGGCTTTAAATTGTCCTCAAGTGCGTGTTGCATACTCAGTCCCTGAAAATATGTTACACATTTTTCACATCTTCATGAAATCTCATGAAATATTTAGAAATTTCCAATCTTTCATATTATTTATTTCATTAGTGCAACCCAGGTCTTAAAAAACTACCGTTCCAAAGGAGCACTTTGAGTGGAGTGTAACTTTTTCACTACTTGTTCTAAGCCTGCTAAAGCAAGCCTCCACTGGCCTCCACATCCAGTCAAAGGGCTCCCGCCCCCTGCGATGGCCTAAACCCTACAACACTAGCTTCGCTTATGCTGCATTACTTACACCGCGAGCTGCCTCACTTGGGCTAAAAACTATGAAAGAAAAAAATAGACAGGAGGAAAAAAAAGTGTAAGTGTTGAAGAGCTAAAAAATCAATTTCTTTGACCCCACATCATTTTTTTCGTTGCACATACTGGGCGATTTGGGTTTCCACCTTAAGATTCACTTTGTTAGACTCAAATAGAGAAAAAGGTTTAAATCTAGAGGACAAAGAAATCACTGTAGTTCGTAAATATATATTTTATCATTTTAGCACATAATGAAAAAAGAAGGATGTACAAAAATCTTTTCATTTGATAGAAAAAAGAAGTTACAGGGGAGAAGTTGTTGATGATAGAGAAAAGCTAGAGTGGATGAAATTTAAAAATAACAATGGGGTTCTCTGATCATAAGGAAGGAATAATGGTATAAGCAAAAAACTTTTTGTTCATTATTAAGTAGCTAGTGTTAATTTAAGTTGACAATCAATGGTCTGATCAGCGCAGTTGTGTTTAGTGTGCATCTCAGCACTTTACCTTAAAACAACAACTTGGGAGTAGAGCGACCAGTGTTATTTATTTATTTCAATGGGATTGGAATGATTCGATTAAGGAGTCAAATATCTTCTGATACAGCTAGGCCATTCCATTCCATTTAAAATTTTGAAGCACAGATCCTTCATAGAGAAGATAAAATTATTTAGTTTATCTTAATTTTACAAATGAATGACTGAACTTCTCAATTAGCCACTATATTTTGAAGACATAGATGGTACAGATTAAACAGGTAAGAATAAAACTCTAAAAACGTACTGCCATTCACCTGATGAAATTTTGCTTCTGAAAAAAGATGCTTCAAAAAGCAAAGGGTAGAGAGGTTGCTCACAGTTTTTTCATCCGAGAAAAATGGAATGCTTAAGAAGAACTGTTAAACTGAGAATAAAGTTTACAATTGTACTTTTTTGAATACCATATGATAAGTTCAAAAAGTGAAGCAAGAAGAAAATTCTTGCCCAAAATTATTTTAACTGTTAGTTATAGGTACTCTACAAAAATTAACTTAGGAAGGTATGTACATATTTTTTTTCCAAAGCCCATAATATAATAATTGCACTTTCTTTTAGTATCTTAGTAAATCTGTGGGAGAAGAAAAAGAATGAGGGAAAAACAAAAAAAAATAATGGACATCTCCTCAACTAAAAATAACTCAAAAAGAAAAACAAATTGAATTTCCTTAAACAATGAACAAAACAAAAATTAGTGACTAGAAAAATTACACTTGCGAAAAAATGGAAAGGGCGGACAATTAATTCAACTGTAATGATCAAGGATCATTAATAGAACTCTGCTAAGGCCTAAAAATGTTTGTGCCTTCAAAAGAAGGACAAAAGAGGTCATATGTGCAGATCAACTTCTCTTAAAACGATTCTGCTTTTTTCTGCATTGAGAGACAACATTAGAAATAGTCAATTTTCAAGCAGTCAAATATTCAAAAATACAACATTTAATACTGCTGACGGTAGAAAAAAAGAGTGAAAAAAAAAAATTGTAAAAATTGTAACTTTGGTAAAGAGAAAAATTAGCCAACAGGATACTAAACGACCAAATTTGATATTCTGGTACGTTCAATGTAATATAATTACAATTATCAATATAGTGTCTTAAAAGATATATGTACCTCAAAGATTTTAGGCTTGGAGGTAAGATTCAAATATACTATTATCTCACACAAAGTGTAGCCTAAAATAATACTTTGGGATATTGTCCAAAAGAAATACGCTACATATAGACAAAAAAAAAAGACTAGTAAACTATTTTGACCTTTCATTCTAAATTAGAAAAAATTTGATTAACAAGGAGATTAAATGAAACATTTCCTTACAAAACTCACTGCTTTCATGACATGGATTCAGTATCTATTCAGAAAAAAAGTACTTCCGTGTATTGGGGCTATGCTAATTGAACATAATGCTGCTCCTCCTACATAGGAGTGTACCTCAATTACCTTGTGAACCCTGTTTTGTAAACAAATCCATGCTTTTGGGGCTCATGTGGAAATTGAGCTACCCAGAGAGGCGACACTTTACTGCAGACGACCATGCAACAGTAATGACCATCTGAGCATGTGTTCTCATGTCAGCCAATCAGAATGTGTGTCAGCTTGTGCAATAGGCGACCAATCAGAGTGCATGCAGATGGCTACGTAGGGACACACCTTGACCCTGTAAATAGGGCGAGCACTGCCAATAATATAACACTTAAGTGGACATTTGGCTGAGCATGAACTATCGACCTACTTATTGCAGAGGAAAACCTTGCACCAAAAATGATAAGTTTTCGAAAACCAATTAAAATTTAAATTAAAAGTTGAAATTTCGGCAGGTCCTAAGCCTAGATTCAAAGTGTGAAAGAAAATGATTTGGTCTATTAACTTTGGTCTTTAGGATTTTGAAAACACATGCTCAGGCGTTATCTATCGCATGTTCAAATGTCCGCAGTCAAGTGTCTGCAGTCAATTGTCGTAAAACCCAGAGATAAAATATTTGAAACCTAAAACTGACACACGCGTTTCAGTGCATTCCAAAACGGGGGAGTTAAAAGGACTTGAGAATACAAAATTTGTTATCTTCATACAGTTTAAAAAAAAAAAAAAATTAAAGTTTTATCCCTATTGCCATTACAGCAACTCGGTATTTGTATGAGGAGATATTATGTTTCCAGAATATAGTACAAACTCATATTTAAATTGATAATCCGGTTGAAGAAAAGCAATCTCAAGTGAGGCTCCAGTGTTGAATCATTTTTGAGGAAACAGCAAGCTGCAAATGGCACGTTCATTCCTCAAGGAATACATTTTTAGAACTAAACTGTACATTCTCCAACTGCACATAAAACTTAGACCAAAGTATTTCAGAAATTCCAAAAATCTATATTTTTGCTCATCGTAGAAAGAGAGAAAACTAACAATAATTCCAATGAGGAATCAGGAGGAAGAATACTATAAAATTTGAGATCGGGAGGGAGTGATACTGTCTGTTATGACGTATCAACGCTGACATAAGCTATCTTACCCTAACTTTTGTTCAGTTGACAATGTTTTTAAACCCTCCTATCTTCTCTTCGACACCGTGAAAAAGTAGCTGATTAACTTTTGATCGCTTTGAAATAGAAAATATTTGGAATAAAATTTGGACATCTGTATGAATTATAAATGAGGAATTATACAGAATACATGGGCGCTAAAATAATTTTCATACAAAGGTAAAAAAAGAATGATGAATTGAATCTTGATGAAAGACTGAAAATTTGATCTTAAATAAAGTACATGCAGCTTGAAATAAGCCACATTTTTAGTTAAGTAGAATCAATAAATGCTAGGGTTCACTTTCAGCAAAAGCTTGGAAACATGAAACTTTGAAGTCTTTCAACACTCAGCTCTAAAAACAAGTATCCATTGACGACCTGTCACAACAATCATTGTATAAAATACAAAAAATAGTAACGACCGAGAGCATCATCAATGATTGATGAGAGATCAATTAGGAAGTCACAGAAATGTATTTTGATGATCTAATCTTGCGGATAGGTGAAAGATCTGTCCAAACTACTAGTTTTGGTAGTATGAGCAAAGCGGCGCAGTGCTCCAATCCAGATTATGAGTCACTTACAAAGCAAAGGGTTAAGTATTTGTTGAACTCCATAACTACTGATTACTTGGATAATAATCTGGTTCAGGGAAAGTTGATGGATACAAGGCTGAACTGATGAGTGAGCTGCTCTTGATAATGGCTTTTCTCATAAAAATACACTGACATGAAGATTATACTAAAATATATATTGCAGTGAGTAATTACTCGTTAACCTACCACTTAACTTAGGAGATAAGTAAAAAGTATGGCATTGAAAAACTTTGCAAGTATGATAAAAAGAAGAAAAGATAGAATCTAACCGCATAGATGAGCACAATCAGTTACTTAAGATACAGTCGTTTCTCTCAGATCTTGAACAATAATAGACCTGTAATCACTTTTGGACCATTAGTTTGAGGAAAATGGGGAGGGATGAATAAACGAAAAATGTTGCAAAAATTACACGGGTGACAAACTTATACGATTAGCCAAACAATTAGAAAATTGATTCATAAGATAACTAAATTACATGTGTTAAAAAACATTACTTGGTGAGCGAATCCGACTGTACTGGCTCTTTTTTTTGTATTACTGTTTTATTTGCAGCAACTTCCTTGATAGAGGTAAACGTTTTATGTAACCATGAGTTTTGTGCAGTTTGAAGTTCCGCTAGCGCTGTATTTAACTGATGTGTAAGATCCTGGGAAACAAAAAATAAAGGCATATAAGATGTAACTCTCC